ATGATGATGTAGTTGTGTGCTCTTGAGGATGAGACTGAGGAAGCCTAGGGAGGACTGGGTGATCCTTCTAAATTGGGGAAAGTGCCGATGTAAAGTGAATTCAAGTAATGTGTGCTCTTTACACAGGAGAGGGGGGGGTGGTGAGTCCTTTGGCTCCAGTGCGATCACTACTGGCTCTTCCTGTCTTCAGTCAGACTCATCGATGCTTCTGCAGCGGACTCTCCTCCAGCTGCTCTGGAGAGCACTTCCACCCACTTGGCCTGAAGTTCTGCATCTTGGGCACTTAAGAACAAAGTCAGCTGGGTGGTACTGAGCCTGAACAGGTGCTTGAGCTCTGATTTGTCGGCTGTTGTCGACGGCACCGATACCACCTCACACCCAGGTAAAGGTACTGCTTGGGAGCCCTTGATATCCTACAGGAGAGAAAAGAAATATTTCAACAGGAGGGGATTATTTTGAGCAAATCAAAAATGTAAACAGAGTCCAACGCAAGTGACAGCTTTTCTCTGAAGCTGCAGGATGACATATCTGAATCGGCGTACTCGTTAAACCCTGCTCCGTTCGCTCCCTCCCCCCTCTTTCTGTTGAATCAGGAAATGCCCACCCAGCTTCCATTAATCCTAATCTTTGGGATGACAGCTTTCTGCTATGGATTGGGATATTAGTCTTAGAAACAAATCCTTCAAATAGATTTTCCCTTTAGTGTTGTCCGATGAAGAAGTAAAACAGAACCCCTCCTAAACCAGAATCAGCACATCTCCAGTAAAAACCTAAAAGCTGTCATGGGTATCGTGTTTGGGCAACTTGTGACCGATAACATCTGTGATGTCAAACTCCAGATTATTGTTATGAAGTCCTAACTGGAAACAGAAGTTTGGCCTTTTATGGTTATTGTGGCAGATTATTTCTTAAAGGGACAGTTCAGGTCGTTTCCTCTGATAGATATCTTAATGAACAGCCTCAGTTTGGAGACACTGAGATTAGTTCAGATGAGCTAATAGCTATCTGATTGGGTCCAGTTAGTGTTTTAGCACACCTCTAATGTTAAAAAGCAGTTCACATGGACACTAAATATCACATTTAGATAAAATCCTGTAGAAAGTATCTGCAGCTCTAGCTACCTTTCCACTTTTGGCTGAAATTTTATAATTTTGTTAAAATAACTTTTTAAATATGTGGCTATTTGAAGGTTAGAAAAGGGCTTTGAACTGAATTAGGATGTTTAGTAACTGGGATTGTTATGACTAGTTTGATCTGTTCCTAACTGTGCAGTGTTGCAGTGGTTAGCACTGTTGCTTTGCAGCAAGGAGGTCCTGGGTTCATATCCCAGCCTGGGGTCTCTCTGCAAGGAGTTTGCATGTTCTCCCTGTGCACGTGTGGGTTCTCTCAGGGTTCTCTGGCTTCCTCCCAAAAACATGACTGTCAGGTTGTCTGGATTCTCTCAAATTGTCCTTAGGTGTGACTGTGTGTGTGTGTGCAGGGTGGTTTGTCCTGTGTGTCTCTGTGTTGCCCTGCGATGGACCAGCAACTTGTCCAGGGTGTACCCCACCTGTTTGCCCAAAGACAGCTGGACATAGGCACCAGCCCCCCCCGCGACCATGCGTGGAAAAGCGGGTTACAAAAATGGATGGATGATCTGTTCCTCCAAACCAAGGACATTCAGAGTGGATCTACAAAAGCTGAGATAACATTTTTTACACAACCCCGGTGTTGAACCTTCCTTTTAAGCATTCTTGGAGAAAATGTGATTCCAGAAAACCAGGTTTTCTAATTTGGTCCTTCAAAATCATATTTTATTGTGTTTTTTTTTAAAATTATTATTATTATTGTTGTAAAACAAGATGAGCGTGTTTTGTTTTATATGGTGTTTTCCATTTTCAGCATTTAAACGTGTTTCTAGACTAATTTGCCAAAATAGCACTGCTATAGCTAATAATCCAAGCCCTCCTCTAAGTATCTCTGTGATTAGAGTGGTATAACATGGGGATGAGCTGTTTTACCTGTCCACTGCTTTGCAAGTGCAGCACCTGTGGCTCAGTCTTGGTCACAGCCACCCACATCTTGCTCCAAGCCTTTCCCTTCTCCTGCACCTGAAGGTAGCCACACAGCAGGCAGCTCTCCCCTGTCAAGGACGTCTGCTTCTGAACAGAGGAAACACAAGTTTTCTCAATGCCGGGATGAACTGCACGGCTGGTGTGAGTGAGTTTCTGCAGGGTATTTGAGGGATTGGGAATCTGATGAGTAAAGCACAGAGCACAACACAGCTCTTCCGCTGTTCATCCTTACATAACAACAATGTGAGGTTTGCATGTGGACATGTGCTTAAGCTGGTGTCTAAAGCTCATGTGACCTGCAGCTCCCCCGTGTGGTGACTACTTTCTCTGCAGAGGACCCTTTTTTTTTCTTTGAGAGAAAAATCTGAAACACAAAAGTGTGATGTATAATCTGTCCCCCTTTAAATGTATATCCAACAGACAGACAGACACCTGTAGCTTCCTGACCATCCTGTCAGCAGAGACAGCTGAGCTGATATCTTTTTAATCAATTAGCTATTTTTTATTTGAATTCATACTCATCACATATAAGTAAGATGTGTGTTTTAATTAGCTTATTCACATTCAGCAACGATCCAGACAAAAGCGCTTCCATATTTTATCGTTCTAAACTGCTTCCCCCTCCCAGGGCGTGTTTTTACCTCAGCTGCAGGTCTTCTCTTCTGCTCACCCCCACACAGATTCTCCAGGCTGAGGCTGGCTTCAAAACACTCGGGGCACACTCGGCTGGTTTTGTTGTCCAAGGTCTTTGAACACTTTGCACAGATGGCCTACAGATGGACGCAGAGAGACAAAAACAACCCAGTTAAATGTCTGAGGATCGTCTTTATCACTTATTCCCTCACTTAACCCTCCGATTCCTCGTCACAAGTGCCTAAATTAGTGCTGATCCATCTGTGCTCACCGCTCCGCAGGACTTGCAGTGATGCTTGCGCTTGGTGAAGTTGAAGCTCTCGCTGCAGCCCTTGCACGTTTGTTTCTCTTTATCCTTTTTCCTGGAACTCTTCTGAAAAATAAATACAACAGGAGACATGTCAGCATCTCTGGCCCGTTTTAGCACGAAAGAAACAGAAGCAGCCGTTGACCAGCGTTTTTCTCACTTTCCTGTCTTGCTGTATTTCTTGAGTCACAGGCGGAAAACAACACTTATTAAAAGGATAGAAACTAGTTCCAGTCAGACGGTGGCTTTAGAGGATCTTTGCACATAAAACTTCTTGACAGCTGTTTGTAAAGAAACAGGTGAATGGATCACTACCTTCAAACTTCAAATCAATTTTTCTGTTTTATGGCAAAAGCACAAAAACCCCAAAAGCACATATAATAACTGAGATGGATAGAAATGCTTGTTTTACCTGGACCCTCCCCATAATGTAAAGGTAACAGCACCTGAGCTAAAACTACAGAACCTACAGGCAGATCAGAGACTCAGTAAAGCATCACAGCTCTCAGAGACACCAGAAACAACACGTCTCGGTCCTGTCTCACCCGCTCTTGTAGTCTTTCACCATCAGAGTCGATTGAAGTGTTGGCCCAGGCACCCTGAGGACAAAATCAAACCCAATGAGCAAAACACACTACCTTCTGCAGTAAACTAGCCCTACCACTAGATGTCAGTCTGAACCACCTCTGGAGCTGGTCTGCTTCCTGTCAAGAAGCAGCTTGGCTGGGATCCAGCTAAGGTCAACCCAAAGTAGGTCAAAGACGATTTATAACAGCCGTGTATAAACTTTGACTTGTGCTTTCCCTATTAGGTCCCTAGAGAGACTCACAGACGCTACATGTGGAAAAAAAGCAGCTTCGTTCTGTCAGTGTTTTGCCTGTTTGACTCTGACACGGCCGTAGATGGAGAAACTGTTCAGGCAGACAAAGATGAGACTATGACAAAGTGGTTTTGGTCTCCCATGATTCATTGCACAGCGTGACCTGCTGAGTGACCTACTCACACAGCGAAAGAGCGCTACTGACCGGTGAGTCTGGCACATGGTCGTCTTCACGGGAGAAGGAGCTGCTGAAGGCTTTGTTGAAGGTTTCACTGTTTTGTTTGTGGCGTTCGATCGTGGACTTGATCACCTGAGAGTCAGAACAAAACCTTTTAAAACAGAGCGGTTCTAACTGCTGCAGATTTATTTTTAGTCTTCTCTACATCTTTTGATTATTTCCAGTCAATTCTGCTCCTCTCTCAGGCTTACACACTAACTCCATCCCCCACTGTTCACTCTCCAGTCCAGTCAGCAACATGTTTAATCAGCTTTACGCTGATTTAATGAGCTAAATGAGCACTTGGGGCTTCATTAAAGAATTTAATATTCAAACACTGAATAAATTCACAAAGAACAGCCAAATAATAACCAGAAACCAAAGGGACAAGTCCACTAAGCAGCTCAGATTGTGTGTTGCTTTGCTACTGGGCGATGCTTGCCTGAATCCAGTCTTCTTTTTCCTCGGCTGTCCTGTAGAGTAAATAAAAAATACCAGTAAGACATTTTATTTTGACCAAAACACAGGAAATGACATCACAATAGCTTAGAGCTGTGGTTTCTAACCTGGGGTCTGCAACCCCCAAAGGGGTCCTCTAAGGCTGTCTGTGCTGAAGGTGTGAAGTTAACAAGATTATATTTGTAAAATAAAATATTTATAATATCCCCAAAACACCCAAGTTCTATCTCTGTATAGAGCTTGTAATGAATCACTTTTAATGTGAAAGAAAGAGAAATAAAAGATATTTTTATAGCATTCTCAAGGTAACAATCACAAGTAACTTCACAAAGACAAAAAATTCAAAATATAACAAAGCTTAAAAAATATAGTTAAACTCAGAGGAAAAATGTGATTACAAGAAAAGGAAAAGAGGGAAATCAGTAGATCCCAGGAAAGGCGAAGTTGGTAGAAAGAGCAGAATAAGGAGAGGGTGGTGATGAAGGTCACGCTAAAGCCAGCTTGATCAGGTGAGTCTTCAGCTGCTTTTTAAAGGAGACCACTGAGTCCACTGATCTCAGGCTCGGGGGGAGAGAGGTCCAGAGTCTGGGGGCCACAGCAGCAAATGATCTGTCACCTTTGGTCTTTAGCCTGGTGCTGCACAACCAGTAGGCTTTGATCACTGGACCTCAGGGACCTGCTGGGGGTGTAGGGACTAAGAAGATCACCAATGTAAGATGGTGCTTGTCCATGTAAGGCCCTATAGACCAGAACCAGGATCTTGAAATGAACCCTGAAGTTGACTGGCAGCCAGTGAAGCTGGAGGAGAAGCGGGGTGATGTGGGTGTATTTGGAGGACTTGGTCAGAAGCCGAGCACAGGCATTCTGAACCACCTGTAGATGGTTCAGGGAGGTTCTGCTCAGACACATGAAAAGAGAGTTACAGTAGTCTAAGCGTGAGGAGATGAAGGTGTGGATAACTGTCTCAAGTTCAGAGCGAGACATAATGGGACTCAGTTTAGCAATGTTCCTGAGATGGAAGAAGGAAGAGCGAACAAGAGAACTGACATGAGAATCCAGGGTGAGAGCTGGGTCAAAGGTCACACCAAGATTCCTGACAGAAGGTTTGGTGTGGGAAGTAAGCTGACAAGAGAGTCTCTGACTTTGGGAACCAGCTTGTCTGGGGCACAGATGAGGATCTCAGTCTTATCTTCATTCAGCTGAAGAAAGCTCCCAGCCATCCAGGCTTTGATAGAGTCTAAGCAGGTGTGTGACAGCTGCAGCTTAGACATCTCATGGGGCTTAAAGGAGATGTATAATTAATGTGTTAGAGTTAATCAATTATTAAGTAGGTACACACATAAAAAATGTAAAGAACATCCAAAAGATGTTTTTAACAATAAAAATCAGTTTTATTCAGAGCAAGGGGAACTCGGTGGCTAAATATAAAAAGCACTGTTCATACACTGGAGCAATTCAGTGTGTTTTAATCAGTGTGTTGGCTCTTTAAATTAATATTTGGGATCTTTTGAAGTTGGTTTAAGATTATAAACACTCAATATTTAATAGTCCTTTAAATGGCCTCAGCTTGGAGAAACCGGGACTAGCTCTGCTCACAGAGAGCCGCTACCAACTTACAAAATAGATCCCCATCATCTTAAAATAATCCTAATCCCAAAAAAGGTGCAGTGGTTCATGCACACACTCGTTAACAAACCTTCATGCTTCCATCAGTTTGGTGGTGTTATTCTGGTTATTTAGAATAAAATGAAATCTCAATAGAACATGTCAAATGTCAGAAGCTACTGAGAGCTAGCACTGTGGCTCAGCTCAGCAGCAAGTAACCAGGGAACTCAACATAAAACACTGAGTTGTGTTTACACCACAGTAAAGGCACATTTATACCACATGCCAACATTTTTGGGATTTTAGACTTTAACTACCACTGGTGTGAGAAGCAGTTAGCCTTCAGCCGGGTCAAAACCAAATCATCTTTAGTTTTATTCAGACTTGTTGCTGTGTGCCTTTACCTGGCCTGCAGCTCTAGTGAACGCTGTTTACCGATGATGGCGAATGTGAAAGGGAGGTTGTGCTTCACGTTTTCCTGAACCTGGAGTCACCAAGTCAGAGGAAGTGGATTAACACCCGAAAGAATAAATCACACAAGTAAAAAAAAAAAAAACAAATAAAAGAGGCTGAGGGGCAGAACTTTACCTCCATGCCTGCAATGTCAATCCTCTCTCTGACACTAAACTTCTGTCCCATCAGTCTCAGTTTGGGCACACAGTAAAGCACCATGTTGTTGAACTAAAGACAGAAGCACAGTTAAAGCGGGTAAAAACGCTGAATCACCAGAAAACATTCCTTCGCCAGAGTGATGCTTCTTTAATTTCACAGCCTTCTCACCAAGTAGAGGTATCGGTCTTGTGCTGTTCCATTTTTAGCCGACATTTTCTTGATAAGTCCTTCTTTAATGAGCTCATTGGCCGGGTTTACGATGTCCTCCTCTCCTCCAAGCCTCTCGTAAACCTCCAACAGCTTGTGCATCTTCTCCTGAAAACCAGGAGCAAACAGCAGGATGAGGAGAGCTGAGAGAGAAAAGCTAGCAAACATGGTCTGAGATCAGAAGACAGGTGAAGCTCTAAACCTCGGATTCTCCTTTGCACCCCCCATCAGAACGGCAGAATATCAGCTCTTTACTGAGTCTGAATTGTTTAACGAAGGTGTGAGGTGCAAATTTCACTTAGCAGTCACTCAAGCTTCTGCCGCTTGAGGCAGGAAACAAGCTACTTCCTGTCTGAGATAATGAAATGTTGCTGACAAACATCAGCGAGGTCTTGATTGGGTAACACATGGCTGGATTTTAAAAAGCTCAACAAGACAGGAGAAAGGAAGCCTCACCATTTTTCTGATTGCTGCATTGGAGTGGTTGGCTGCAGTAGAGATCAGCTCCAGGGCCTCTGTGGAAACAGACAGAAAGATGTAATCAAACATCTAAAGTTAACCAAACACTGGTGTTATGAAGAAAGCGGTGAACAGATTCAGCAAACTGAACAAATCCCCATCATACTGTGTGCACTCGATTGGCTCTGAGCCAACAGGGAGTCCAACACAAACGCCTGTGAGCACCTGAGTCAGCTGTATTCATCATGACCTCACATAAACAGAAGAGACACACAGGCCGAGAGGATGGGGGCAACTGTAACAGGGGGTGGATGACTTTTCTGCAGGGGGGAGAGCAGAAACCTTCCAGACTCCAAAAATAAGAGCAAGTCCTAAATAAACAGACACAGAGATGCTTAGCTGCATAGTGTCTACTTTCTTTTTAACTCCTAGTAAATATTTGTAAAATAGCTTGTTGACAAATAGGACTAATACACAGATACTGAGCTGAAATAGTCTCTACTAACCAATAGCATAAGATCCTATGATATAGTGCGTGATTTGCTAATGAATTGACATTAAAGACTTGGTAAAGCAATTCAAGTCAATAAGATCCAATTAAGAATTTTGATTTTGGATTTTATTTAAGATGTAAAAGTATAAGTGCTTATATGATTTCTTGCTAATGTGAAAATGTAAGTTTTGCTTATTGATTTTGTTTATGATGTATGTGTAGAGATGTTTATTTGGATTTTGGAAATGGAAAGATGTTGAGTGATAGGGCAATGAAAAGCTTTGAGCTTCTCCCTATTCCCATTTAAGGACCAAAGATCTAAATCCTCCAAATAAGAAATGTTTATTTTGTATTTGATTTTAGTTTGTTTGAATGGTCTGAAGTGAATAAATGAATGACTGACTGACTGACTGACTGAATGAATGATCGTGCTAATAAATTTGGTTAAGACTCAGCTGAAAGTGCTGCAGCTCCGTCGTTATAAGATGATCTTAGTTTATGAAGTTCTTGATTAAACAAGAAAAAACAGGCCTTGGAGTTGGTAAAAAGGTTGTAATTCAATAAAATCTGATAACAGGGGTATCTACTGTCTTAATCCTTATTCAAGTGCATCCAAATGATTAAGGTACACATTTATTTATTGCAGGCTTTTAACTCTGATATCTGCCTATTTAAATGTATGGGACACTCATTTAATTAACAAATTTGCAGTGGTCTCTAGTAGGAGCACCTGGACCAACACAGAGGAGTCTGCTGAAGCAGAGAGTGGCAGGACACAAGTGGATTTGGAGTATTATTTCCTGATATTTGGACATCTTCCCTCTGATTGGCTAAAAGCAACACGACTCTGCCACTGACTCTACAGCGTTGATGTTTTATCTCCACAAATAATTCAAGCCTGGAGGAGTTCTGCTCTGTGGTTGAGTTGCTTGGTTTCTGCTAGCTGAGACGTTCTCTGCTGTTTCCTGGGAGCTAAACCAACAACAGCCTTTGCCGTCATGAGTCAAGATGGGTGAGTCCATGAAGTGACAGTGTGATGCAGATCTGTCAGGCTTTTCTAAACCTGGAGTTTCTCCTATGCAGGAGATAGGTGTAGGAGACTATTTTCATGTTCAGCCTGCATGAAGAAATCAGAGTGACAGATTTTAATTAGAAATAATAAAAAATGGATTTTCAGTGTTCCACACCCTTAATGAAGTTGGATGACAGTCTTTATTCACCGTCAGCTGAATCACAATGTGACACATTTCTAAAGTCTTTTTAGAAAATCAGTTAAACAAAATCTGAGCATAAAAATCAGAAACATGAGCAGATTTCATGTCTCACTTTCTGCATCTTTGCGGTCGAGAGCTTCATCGGGCAGCTTCTTCAGGTAGTCTTTGAGCAGCATCTCGTAACGGGGGATCCTCTGGACCGGCTCCAGCATGTGGTGCTGCAGCGTCAGGTTCCCACACACATCCTGTTTCTGTTGGTTTAAGCATAAAATTAAAATGTAACATTTAACCAAATTCCTCCTGATAAGATGGCTACATGAAGCGCAATCCACCGTGTTCAATTTTTCCCATGTGAATAACATGACACATAAAACCAGGTGTTGACTCCATCGTTTCTCTGTTTCAGAAATAAAAAGAACGATTTAGAAAGGTAGTTCTACTAAATCAAACCTGAATGTTCTGGACCACGCTCTTGAACTGTGAAGACCTCTGATTCCAGGTGTTGACCAGGTCCATGGCCCGGTCAAAGTTCTTCACATATTCTCCATACATCTTCATGAACGGGGCCAGTTTCTGCAGGATGTCTCCGATCCGAGGGTTTGAGTCCCTATCACATAAAAATGTGATGCATCATGGGACTTTTTCTTTAAATATAATGTAATTAACAAACAAATACACATTAAAAACATTCACAGTCTAAATACACACAAAGAAACACTCCAAATCCCTCGATTTAAACCTAAATTTGAGTCTGTATGGATGTAAAACGGAACACTTATGCTATTCACAGCAAGTTTCTCCGTTTGATTCAACCCATTCTAGTGAGTCCTAGAAGATAATGTGTAAGAAATCATTGTTTGACAGGCGATTTCTCTCCACACAGGCCTCTACAGGAGTAATTATCTGCTGAGTGTGTTTGACAGAGGCACTATAACACACTGGAGACCTGTTTCCTGCTTACTGTAGGAAAAAAAAGCACAAGATTCACGCCTGACACCAAGAAAAACACCCACCTGAGAAAAGAACCCCCTACTGACAACCAGCTGTTTGAAATTATTCACTGAACTTGTCACAACTTTGAACTCTACATCATCTTCTTACTAATACTCGTGCTCCTCACCATTCTCCAGTAATCCGCGTCTTGAGCTCTGGGAGCAGAAACTTATCGTGGAAGCAGTAGATAGAGGAGATGTTGGAGAAGATCCCCGTGATGACGTCCTGAGGGATTCCAGACTCTGTCAGCTTAGTGCAAAATACCTGCAGAGACAAAAAAAATAAAAATGCTCAGAACGTTCTTTCCTTCAGGGTTCTGAGATGTTGGTTTCGTCTGCTTTGACAAGATTACTGATGCTTTTAATAAAAGTATATTTAAACCTTAAATGCAGAATCATACCAAGTTCAGGTTGTCTAGTTTAGCATTTTAGTTTAAGAAAGACCCTCAAACACCAAAAGCACCAAAGCATTTTTTGTTGTTGTTTATTATAGAAGACATTTTCAACTTACTATCATTAATGATCACATCTGAAACAGTAGAACCAGGTTTAACCCTTTAGGCCATAAGTCTATTTTTGATTAATATTCTCAAAAATGACATGTCTATAAAAAAATGAGTATACTTCTGGAACCACAAGGTTCGTATATTTTCTTTTGGCTTCATTTGAAAGGGAACTCCTTGAGACATGTAAATATGACACATGTGTTACTGATTAAATGCACATGGACATGGAATATTGTAAAAAACAAAAAAAAGTTATTTTCCTTGTCCACCAAAAACAATACATTTTCAGGAAAAATACAGCAGTCACCCAAAACTTCAATGAATTCATAGTTACACATCTTGACATTAGCTGTGCAAAGTTTGAGTCAGATAAAAACAACAATAATTTTACGGAGGTTTTCAAGCAGACACTCCAGGCGAGGTCTCCAATTTGCAAAGGTGTGGACTCGAGTCACATGACTTGGATTCGAATCAGGCTTGAGTCATTATTTTAATGACTTATGACTTGACTTGATGAAATCTATTAAGAATTACGACTTGACTTTGACTTGAACGCCAATGACTTGCAACTTGAATCGACTTGCATCTGTTGACTTGATGATGACTTGAGCATATTTGATATTTTAGCACAAAAGTGACATGATATGGACAAAAATCATGAATCATTCTTCGTTATGGGTTTGATCTTGTACGGCTAAATGCAGCAGCACTTTGTTTAGAATCAGTTTCAGTTGGACTTTCTGCTTGTTTGGGCAAATAAATGAAGCTTCAAGAAGCTTTATTTCTGGGATTTTTTTCATCATTGTCATTAAATTGAAGCTGGACTGATGACTTGATTATGACTTGAAAATTCAAAGTTAAGGACTTAGACAGATAATGTCCAGAAATGGTCAGTTTTCATGTACAGTTTGACCCCTTCAGTATCTGGTCTACATGGAGACAGGAGTCTACATGTGTGGCCTTTAATCTGCCGGATCCCCCCATTCCATCAGCTGGAGCCCGGGCCTCTCTGCAGCTCAGAACACATGATAACAAAGTGTCAACAACCTGTTCCCTTCTCAAGGCCCTTCTGTGCCAAGCCTGCCTGGTTATCTAGGCCAGACTGGACTGTTATTAGAGTGGCTTTTTTCAGCTTATATGAGTTAATCATTCGTGAAATAATAATAATAATAATAATAATGTCTTCGTTACTCTGTGCTTAAATCAATAAGGTTGATTGATCGGTGCTTGAATTACTGAAATGAAATATTACATTGAATGATTCATATATATGGTAATCAGTAATGTTTAATATGAGAAGGCAATCGTCACCCACACTCAGACGCAAGGACAAATTAAAGTTAAGTTAAACTCATGACACATAGATATTTCCTTACCCCAAATCAGAGCATACGGTATCTCAAGAAGGCCTGATGTTCTGAGGTTTTCTTGGTAATATCCCTTAACATGGCACATTCCGATTGGACAATAATTCATAACATGAGAATATTAAAACAGAATCACTCAGGTGATTCAGCAGAGTCGCATTCCAGCTTTCCATCATTCAGCATTCAGTTTGAGAGAAAGAGCTACAGAATGGCCGTCCGGAGCGAAAACTCTTTAACCCTGAACATTTTTGGCAAGCTGCCAAAGCCCTGCTAAAAGCTGCCTACCGCTGACACAGCAAATAGTTCCTGCAGAACAAAGCTGATATTGTTCTGACACCCTAAGAGTCCTTCTAGACACAAACGTTCCATCCCTCTGTTGTGACCCGTAAAACATCTCTGGACTGGAGAGTCGGTGCTGCGGTCATTCTACAACCTCGGTGCCAGAGGTCATCCGACCTCTCTGACCTTCGGATCCATGAAGAGGATCTTCCAAAGGTTGAGGTAGACACACAGATAACGTCTGATGCCTTTTGATAAAAATCAACCTGATAGCTTAACGCAAACCAAATTCTTTCCTTTTACACCCAGAACTCAGTTCTTCTAATTACGGAAGTTCTGATAACATCGTATTCACACATAGTCACCACCATACATCTCAACCCATCCACCTAGATTCATCCATCACAGTAAATATTAGTTAACTTGTCATGTTTTTAATTGTTTGGAAAATAAATTCTTACTTTTTATAAACCTGACTTTCTTCTTGAATCAAAACGAACCAAGCAGGTTGATATTCTATATTTATATAGAATATCACTGCTTATTGGTCATAAGTAAAGGTAATATATTAAGCTTTTAAAGCACCACATTTACCCTCTCTACACTTGGTTGTCTCTGACTTGGACTTGACTCGACACTTGACTGGAAGGACTTGTGACTTACTTGTGATTTACAAAGCAGTGACTTGGTCACATCTCTGCCAATTTGGCACCATTTGGCAAAAAACTGTGCCAAATTAGATTAAACACAAGTTTAATCTAGTCTGATGATGAGGATGACGATGCGGACGTGTAACTTGCATCGTTTCAGTGTTTTTATTTATGTGAAATTCCACCAAAAGGACAGAAACGTTAACTGCACAGGAATTGAACAAGGAAGAAAGCGTTTATAGGAAGGTATTTTGTGTAAAAGTGGTTAGTTTTTAATCTTGTGCAATACCCTTTTAAAACATCAAGTATTTCAACTATAAGGTGAGAAAGATGGACGTAGGTAACCTAACGTCTTCATTCCAGGTAGATTTGTGAAATCGTTTTTACATGTCAGAGTTACACCTAAAATATTCAATAACATATTAAAATATTGTTTTCTTTAAACCTTGTTTTAATAAACAAACCTTAATGTTATGAGTGTTTAAATTAATCTGATGAGATTACATAATTCCTACAACATCTCCAGAGACCGTCCAGCTAGACTTCTATAAATAACACTGACTCATCTGGAGGTCTGGGGCCTTAAACCTGTTGTTGTGTTGTCTCCAGGGTGTTGCTTCACCCTGGCCTTCCTTCCTATATCCACTGAACTAATCTCTTCTTTTACCACCTCCAGAACACAGGATTATCACAATGTGCAACACCGTTTCACAAAGTGATTTCTAAAATTCAAATAGCCTTATGAAATATTTAACTTGGATTAGCAGCCTTGCCAGGAGACCTGCTATTGAGGTGACAGCCCTCTATGTTAACAAGGTAGACCTTATCTGGTTCATTTGGTTTCTGTACTGTATATCTGCATGAAAATGTATATTCACTTGATCCTAAACATTTGAGCAGTGGTGCACATGCTGGCTGAATCACTGGAAACGACATCCGAGTTATTAAAATAAAAAAAATAAAAAATACGAGACCAGAGGTTGCATTTCTTTTGGGATCACTAATCTAAACCACCCTTTCACTTGAGCCTCCTAGCCTAACAGCCACAGGTAGACTCCTTGGTTACCATGGAAACTAGCGTGACGAAAGTAAGACAAAAACAGGAAGTGAACTGTGTGAAGTTTTTTTGCCCTCTGAATCAAATAAACCATAGATGCTCAGTGATAGGGTGGCTCATTGTCTCCTCTACCGCATGAAGTTAGCAAAGAGGAAGAAGACTAAACCACGGGCAGAAACAACAACCTATAAACCTTTTACAAACAACACACACACACACACACACACACACACACACACACACACACACACACACACACACACACACACACACACACACACACACACACACACATATATATATATTTATTTTGTATATAAAATTCAGTTAAAAAAACATTAAGAGCCCTCATTTAGAATGATAATTAAGACAGAACAAACACAGTCAGGCTGAGTTTTGATTCCTCAGGTTGTTCAGGTAAAGCACTTGATTATTATGGAGTAAAGTAGTAATTGTTAGCATTAGTGGAGTGCAGTTGTAAATATATAAAAAATGATAAAAAATTAAAATATCATCAAGCTCAAACTACTGCTTCAAAAAGGTTTCTGAGTCACTGCATTCATAATTCTAAATTAAGACAGGCTCACAAACACAGCTGTGCTCCCTCCTCTCTCAGTAATCGGGTCAAAGAGGGCAAAGAGGGTTGATGTTGTAAAGTAGATGGTAATCCAGCTCAGTGCTGATCTCCCTCACTAACACCCAAAGGTAGCCCCCCCCCCCCAGGTGTTACCTGGTCCAAGAGGTGGAGTCTCTTTATGTAGGCCTCTTCAGTGTGGAGAAGCTCTTTGGCGATGTTCAGCAGCTTCTGGGTTCGTGAGCACTGAGAGAATCAGGGAAACAGCAAAGACTAATTAACTAAGCTAGTCTGAAAGAAGAGCGACACAAACAAAAAACTGTCAGGTATTCGGCACAAGAACAACTTAGAAATAAAGATTCCTTAGAAAATCTGACCTTATCTCTCTAAAAATACATAATTTCAGCAAACTGAGATAAAAGATGCCTGATGTTGTTTTTAAATGAAAATCTAATAAAATGACAAGCCAGTACACACAGAGACATGTCAGCAAACACCGCCCTTTCCTGCAGGTGTTTAGCGTGAGCATCTGGTTGCTGGTTCAAAAACATGTGCAGATGGGAATGAAACAGGTGACAGTCAATGCTAACCAGATGATCTTAACTAACAGATCAAATCTAAACGACGATTTGAAATCACCTAACGTGTTCAGCGAGAAACCAACTAGAAAACCCTCCTAATATTAACCACGTTTACTCTCTAAGAGGTCTGTTTGTTGACAGAACTCCTCAAAAAACATCAAACTGAACATAATCAAATGTTTTAGATTGTTTCATTTGGACGGTCACGACAGATTTATCTGTAAAGATAAAGTAACACAAAATGTGTTTTACTTATTTCTTCTTCATCTGCATATTTACGGCCTTCTGATATTTAAGTATAAATACATAAAAAAAGATCTGCTGCCTCCGAAGCAGCTTCCCATATACCACTAGAGGAACATGTCACATATAAACACAGGTATTTATATGCAGAAACCTTAACTTTATTATTAAACAATCACATCTTACAAGGTTTATATGAGATTGTTTTCTTGTGAAGCGTTACCGACTCATGCAAACTAACGTCCACAAAGCTGCTTCATTTACTGTCAGGATCTGCTCCTTCTCCCTCTGACGTGCTGTCATGTCTCCCCTCGTTAAGTGTCTATTGGACTCACCTGCCCCTTGTTATCATACCCAGCTGAATCCTGATTACCCTCATGTATTTAAACCCTCTGTTTGTGCTTGTCTTCGTTACATCCTCGTCTCCTATGTCATCCCACTCACCATTATTCCTATTGAACAGTTCTTTTGCCTGCCAGTCTGCCTTCTGTTCCTACTCACCTGCATTTGGGTCCTACTGCAACCTACATCATGACATTTGCAGTACAAGGTTCTAGGGGTTAAATGTGTTGACAGCTTTAGAGTGATTCCCCTTCAACAGTTAAGACGTGTTTGAAGCAAATTCTGCATAAATAAAATTAGGTAACTGATGAAGGTCGTGCTGCTAGTGCAGGCTCCACATTACATTTTGTTTTCTTAAGAACAGTAAACGGTTTTTGATTATGTCTCTTTGTGGACATGTTGTTTATCTCACATCTGTACTGGATCAGAACCAAAGTACCCGTTAAGGGTTAGCTGCTGGACTTTGAAAAGAAGTTCGTCCTGCAGCACAAGTGTAAACAGAGCAACACAATGTAGCATGAAGCCATGAAGAGTTCCTCCCAATAAATATTCACAACATGGTTAGCGTCTGAATGGTAAAAGGCCAGAGAGTCAGCAGAACTTTGTATTTAGTCACCCTTCTGCAAAGCACATCGCTAAAAAAACCCACATCCTCTGTGTCAAGGCTGTCATTATACCAACACACACATGCACACACACGTCAGTCTTTCTATCATAGTGAGAACCATCCATCGACTTCCAAAACCTTTTGTGACTGTATTACGTCTAACCCTACCAATGCTGATCTATCCATAACCCTAACCTTAACTAAAACTTAATTCACACCACAGCTCTAAAACAAACCGGTAGATATTTGATTGGATCACAAAAATGTCCTCACTCTGTTGGTTAAAACCATGGTTCTCAGTATGTGGTAGGTACACACACACACACACACACACACACACACACACACACACACACACACACACACACACACACACACACACACACACACACACACACACACACACACACACACACACACTTCCCCATTACAGTGCTGGGATCAGGCAGCAGAAGCTGAGACTTTCTGCATTTGTGTGTTTTTTTGTTTGTTTTTTAACAAAAAAAAAATTCCAGCTTCTTTCAGCTTCTTATGAGACATATTTTTACATTTGTTTCCACCAGAATATTTTTAGATGTCACCCCATTGTTGCTTTCAAACAGAAACTTTTATCCAAATTGAATTTAGAGGCGTTTACGATCCATACCAAGGTGAAACCTTAGCCCGGCTGTGGGAGGACGTGTGTCTGTAGAGGCTCTCATCAGGCTCTAGAGCAGCTCTGAGAGGAGCTGCTGCTAGATAAGAGTCAGTCACTTGTGACCAGAAAACCGAGGCTATAATAGTGTATAATGTTTCATGCAGAAGTAGTCTTTGAAACTGCTCACCCAAGCCAAGATAATAATAGACACCGGCTGATTTTCCCCTTACATGAAAGGCTGTCTGAGTGTCTGAGGTGAAGCTTTTCGACTTGCACAATAAGCTTAATGAATCACACAGAAGACATGAAAATTAAAGGTAAAGGTAGAAGTCAGCCAGACTTCAGGTTGGGGTTGTGTTTATGTGGGTGGGGGAGGTTTATGGAGGGGAAAGTGTGTGAAGTACTTACTTTGTGTGCCTCTGAGTTTGTGTCATATCCAGTCTGTGTGTCTGTGAGGGAGGGTATCTCCCCACTGCTGCCCTCGTCTAAGTCGCTGTCCTCATCTTGTGTTGAGTCTCGCTTATTGTACACAGCAATGCAGCAAGAAACGCTCTCTGTTTCTGTGATGCTATCGTAATGATCCTCCTCATCGATGGCATCCTCATTTGGGAACACCTCCCCTTCTGCGGCGCAAGACGGACTGTCAATGCCGCTGTCCCTGTTGGGAATCTTCCCGTTCTGCTGTGAGGTGTCGGAACTGTCCATGAATTTGTGAGAGCCGCCTTCTTGGTCCCTGCTGTCAAGGCAACTGTCCGTGATGTAGCTGTTTGGCACTCCATCACCTGGTCCGTCGATGTGCATGGACGCCAGATGCGAAAGCTCTGCCACTCCGTCAGAGGAGCCAAATGTGAGTTTGTTCACAGGAGAGGAGTCTCCTGCAACCTTGGCTGGGGTGTCCAGGCCGCAGGAGAGGGAAAGGTCAGAGGCAGTGTCCATTCTCAGGCACAGATGCAGCTGTGGCCGTGGGAGCACCCCCAGGATGGGGACCCTGGGAAAACAATAAGAGTTTAATGAATCATTATTAAAGACAGAACTCAGTGTAGAGGAGGCTGACAAGGAGAAACGTGAGTTTGTTTTCACCATTTCACATAAACTAGCTAAAATCACACATTTCTACTCCACATCTTACCTGGAGTTCTCAAACTTTTCTATGAGCTGTCCAACCTTCTGAGCCTCTCTCTGCAGCTGTGCTCCCAGGGCAGGAAGATGGAGGCAAGGCTTTGGTTTAGGTGGAGGAGGAGGAGCTGGCAGAGGTCTGGAAGGTGCTGGAGGTATCCTCTTGGGTCTCTTGTCTTGCCCGAGGGCCAACAGGTGCGCAGGTTTAGGGGGCACTAGACATACATAGGTCCAGAGAATAAAAGACGAGCAGAAGAGAGATGCATTTAACAAAAACAATCAGGTGACATGAAGAAATCCAAGAGAGAAAATCTCCATGGCTGGTCCATGTGCCAAACTTAGGTTACTCTGAGCTCAGAAGATTTAAAAAGAAGAAAGAAAAATGCAGCAGGGCAGAGCGCCATCGACTGTGAGCCTCAGTTATCAACTAACTTCCTTATTACACAACAGGATGCTGAGTCCAGTGTGTGTGTGTGTGTGTGTGTGTGTGTGTGTGTGTGTGTGTGTGTGTGCGCATGCATGCGTGTGTGTGTGTAAACTAATGCACTTCCAGGCAGAAAAAAACTCAAAAGAAGATAAAACAGCTCTGTCTTTTACACTCCTCTCATGAACACAAGCGACTGACCCATTCACAGCCAGGTTCAGAATATTTGCATGCTTTAAATTTTAGGAAATAAATTTGTTCGCAAGCAGGAAATGAACTGTTCAAGTGAGCACTTCCTCTGTTTGTGCATGTGTCAGTGAGATGCAGCTGAGACACGAAGTGGACTTGTCTGTAATCACACATAACATGAAAATGACAGGTCTGGTGACAGCCTGCTGCAGATGAAGCGATTTAAATTCCCCACATAGCTTTACAAATTCCATCTGTCATTTGTAAAAGTTAGCGCCAACACTTGAACGTACCCATGCAGCTAGTTTCCCCATAACGCACTGATGGAAAGAGAACTGTGAAAACCAAAATTCAAGTCAATTATTTTGACTAAAACCAACTGATTTACACTACTTACGTTGAGCTGGGAGTCCATGTTTGTTTGCTAATTCTCTAGATGGGTTTTGTATTCATCTTTTAGAGATAACTCAAATAAAATAAGGTAAAAACTCTTTTTCTGTGTTACAAAAACAACCAAGTAATGCAGTTAGATAACTAAAGTTATCTTGAACAACTCCTGCTCCCTCTGTTGGGTCAGGTCCTCTGTTTCCTGTCCTAGCTATCCACAACCTCTGAACTTTAAAGGAAAAAAGGCACAACAAAAACAAAAGAAAGCAGAGGATCCCTCCCATCTGTCAACAAAAAATAAAATAAAATAAAAAAATAAAATTAAAATAAACTACACATACTTACATTAGTACTCCCAGAAGAATAAGTCATATTGTTTCATGGGGGAATGAGTGCTACTTTAGTTACAACCAGGAGTTATTTTTATGGTGGCCACACATGGTGGCAGCCTAAACCGGGGTGGAAACTGTGCGATTTTTTCACTCGTAGCTTTCAGCTTCAGCTCAAATGGTACAACATCCTCACAGAGCAAGTCTCACGAGTCGTGTGCTCGCACTGTATGACCCAGTTCTCGGGTGCGACCTGACTGCTCACACTGTACGTCTGCTAGCAACATGAAGAACCTACAAATATACATAAAATACCAGTTTCTACACATTACATCAGACTTTGTATTGTGTTGTTATTGATGTCTGTTGTCCCTCGGGATTTCTGTAGGACACACAGGGATTTCTGAGGGTTGGAGGAGGAAGACAAAAGAAAGAAAGTAAATCAATGTTTTATCTGTTTAATTTGAAATGAACACGGAAAATATGCTTTCTTGACAATCCTTATCTTTGTGTGTAAAAGTGTAATTAATAACAAACGGCGTGTGTTAATAGGGAAATAGCTTGCAAGCCGTGTTGACTCATGTCTGCACACGCGTGAGTGGTTCTGGTGCTTTTTGGGTCGCAGCGCCACTTCATCAGTGCGATACACTCAGGAGGGACAAACAAAAATCAAACACGGGATAAGCTGGTCACGTGGTGTTAATTGCCTCTCGCTACCCCCTGTATACTACATGACACTCAGCGCAAAACTCGCCCCGATCTTGGAGATTCTCGCACAACGGGAAAATCGGCGGCAGTGGAAAAAGTCGTGCAGTATGCCCGACTTTAGGCAGCAGGTTTTGAGAAAGAGAACCAGAACCTTTGTGTGCCTTTTTGTTTAGGGAGCAGGAACTGTGGAATTTTGTCCGGCACCGTCTCCTGTTTTCTCTGAGAACTTCACCAGGCCTATTTCTTAAAAGGTTTGGTTTTTAATCCGCCCTCTCCAAAGATCCCAAATGGTGGCTAGGTTGGAGGTCAGTTATGGCGCTTACACATTAGCATCAGCACGGTCGGGGTGTGGTGGGGCTGGATGGCGTGTGCTTGGTCTCGAGTGGACGATGTAGTGTTCACATATGAATCCAGGGACTTCTCAGGAATGTGGAAATCCCTTTTTAAGTGTGGTCAGTGGACTTCGGGTTTGTACATTTTTCAGAGCTTATGTTTCAAATGTGAAACTACAAGCCATTTTACACTGTTATTTAAAGTGCATTTAAGAAATATTTGGAGAAAAACCAAAACTGGATCTGTGACATTAAAAACCCCCCACATATTTTGCTTAATGTGATAAAAGTCCCCAAGTATCAAGTAAATACTTTTAGGTCACCCAGCCCTATAGATTTTACCCAACAAACTGTCTCTGCTAAAGCTCCCCTACGGTGAGGTACTTCCCTAAAACAGAACTTCTCTCTTTATTTGTCATCATCTATGCATTAGTATTTAATTCATGAGCAGATTTGAGGAAATCTTTGCTGCACGTCTGAGCAGAAAACTTCATACACTCTAAGAAATCAAATGTTGGACTTACTAAACCAAGTTATGTCAACTGGTTCCACTAAACCTAGTTACTTAAATGTAAAGAGTAATATATGTTTAATTTTAACATAATAACTTAAGTAAATATAATCTAATTATGTTCAATAAATCCAACATAATAGAAATAAGTTATATAACTTCATAGTGTTAGCTTAAACTAACTAAACCGGTTTAGTTCATTTTACTCAACATCATTGTGTTGTATGTTCATAGATTTAATTTAATTTAATATACTCATGTTAAGGTTAAACAACCTAGTTTAGTGGAACCAGTTGACATAACTGGGTTAAGTATTTACAACATTTTCACTTTTTAGGTTTCTTTAAAATAATAAATCAAACCAATTTAACTCACTCAATTTTATTTAAGCACATTTTAAGTGAAAATTAAGTTCAATTTCACCAAACACAGTTTGTCAAAAAAAAAAATAAAACAGTAAAAGTAAATAAAATTAAAATGTAAAAAAAAACACCATACTTTTTGAGTCAATATACAAGATTTTGGTGCTTTAGTACAAGTTTTCTTTAAATAAATCAAATATGTTTGATAATAAACTCATACCAAAAAAATAAACCAAGACTGATCAATGACAGACACAAGACAAAGTGCTGCTTTAATTATTTTTGCCATGAAATGTTTGGCGTGAAACGTAAACCATGAGAACATCTAAAATCCAACCACTTGTCTTAGCACAAGCTCCTTAAGTCAGGGTGCAACAAGTCCAGTCCACGAAATCTAACAACGTTTGGATGCATCTTTTTTTCCTCAAACACCTGCATCATATCCTCCAAAGATCAGTTCAACATCTGCTGGTAGGTCGACATTCCACAAAAATAAACAATAATGAACAAGAGTCTGCTTCTAGACCTGCAGAAAGAGAAAAAAAATGGGACACACAACAATACAACAGGAGCAAGCTATCACTGTGTCAACTTGAAGAAATATACACTCAACATTGTTTAACTGAACAATCACACAATAATAAATCACAGTGTATTTAGTGGCAACGACAGCCATAAGACATGTGTTGAACGTGCTCAAGCCCATACTTATGAGAGCACCATGTGAGCACCTGTGTGCGTACATGGTGCTTGTTTATGTAAGGTTTCTCTATAAAAGCGTCCAATAGAGAGTGTGAGGTGCCACAGATCTGCCCCCCCCCCCCCAAAAAAAAAGATGTGTAGGAGACGGAGGGAGCTCCAAGTCTCAGAGATCCAGGCGCTACCCCAGAACACAGGAATCCCAAGGAGACTGCAACCAGAAAGGCCCCTGTCCCCCTCGAGAGGCGCAGAGGATCGCCCCGGGGGGCCACAACCAGCGGCCGGCAAAGTCCCGGGAGATATCAGCGGCAAGCCCACAGCCTCCCACCCCCTAGCCGGCCAAGCCCGGGACCCAGCGACCCGGGACCCAGGGGCGACCACCCCCGCCGGGGACCCAGCAGAGCCCAGGGACCCAGGCCCCACCAGGCAGCCACCGGGATTGATCAGGCAGATCAATGTCAGATGTAATACCGAATGTAGATTGCATATGTGGCACCCAGTTTTTCTAACTCAACATTCCTGTTGAGTTACAAAAACCTCTAAAAATCAGAGACAACCACACATATTCACACTAAAGGCTCATTTATAAAGCTCCATTCAAACATATTTGGGTCCAAATGCAGAGGAACAATTCTGCACAGAGAAAGAGTCTTGTAACTCACAGGCAGAGAGGTGCATGAGGGGCGGGACTAGGCAGCTCAAAAAGAACCGATCAGAAAAAAGACAGAAATGCTGACTGTACCGCACAACGCTGTAGTTTTTATTAGCTGTAGTCAAAAATAGCGTCTGGCGACGGCACAAACATCTTTTTTTAGAAGAAAGGCTTTTAGCCCCTCTACTTGTGTTTTTAAAGACATTCAAGTCATTTAGAACAGAGGAAAGAGCCGCAGTGGACTCTGCTTCAGTCGCCATGTTTATGACAAATTCGGCGTTGCGGTGTGTGACGTACTCTACTCAGCACTGATTGGCTCGGTTAGAATTCTCAGGGGGTGGGGCTATTTGAATAGGAGAGTTCCCAGACCCTTTCTCTGTGCAGGATTAAACAGAGGAGTCTGGCAGGCCAGGCTAGAACAGATGAGTAGAGGAAGATAAACCTTATAGGCCTTTCCCAACATCAGGTACTAAGCCTAACTCAAGTGGATATGGTTCGGTCTGGCCGTCTTTTCCAACAATATAGATCGGTATTATTCCCAAACTTTCCCTCTACTTTTTAGTCCCTTCCATGTGGTTTTTAGTGCGCTGATCAAGGCCGGCATTGTGACTACTGACTGTGGATCCCCCTCGGTTTGAAATAAAGAATCCATCTATCTCTCAGCTGCTCATTGGCCAGGGGGTGGAGTTACTGGTTGTTCCAGAGCATTCTGCTGCTTTCCGCATCCCAACAATGCCCCACAAGTGCAGGTCATTAAAATTTGTATCAGGACATAATTAATGTAAGAACAGGACAGATTTCTTTTTACTAAAACAAAACAGCATAACTTAAACACAAAGCTGCAGCTTACCTGGGACTCCTTAATAATGTTGTCAGGCTTCTCATTAAGGAACCGACAGAGGTTTCAGAATGCATCTTCATTGTTACTTCAACAGTGGGATTCTGTGTGAGAAAATATGTTCACAGTGTAAGAAATTGCACTCAAATATTTCAATGGGGAGCTTAAGTCTCCTCCCTCTCCGGTCGGATCATCAAAGTTAATTTGTTTGATGAGCTATCATCTTGTCTTTATTATTAGATGGCACATAACCTATCACACCTCAAACTAGAAGCTGATGATGGGTATATTAGAGAATCCTGGTGCAATAAGCTGTACTTTAATGAATGACACGATCAACTACTAAAAGAGTTGTTTGTGGCATGGCAGCCCTACTATTTTCATGTTCAGCCTGCATGAAAAAGTCAGAGTGACCGATTATAATCTTAAATGATCATTAAAAATGTACATGTAAGTGTTCCATACCTTTGAAAGCTAGCTTTTTGTAGATTTGCTACTGCAGCAAATAAGGCTGAATAATTCAAAACCAATTAAAAAACATGGAAAATCTTCACAGTTGTCACAAACAATGATGGACTGTCATAGACAGTCTGACGTGAAATGATATTTACATTTGGGCAAAGTTACTAAATGTAACTGTACACAGAGCTAAATAAAACTAACTTACCTTGAGTTGTAAGATGACATGCTTGCAGTAGAACCTGGAAACTCCAAAATCACCATATGTGTGGTCAGGGGCGGCGTTAGGCCCGGCTACTTGGGCTGAAGCCCCAGATGTTTCATGAAAAGCCCCGGATCTAAATCGCGGAAGTAACATGCAGTACCAAAGTCCAACAGAGAGGGAGCAGCTGGCAGTAGTTTGTATACAGCCTGCCTGAGCCTCCACCACTGAAGAAGAAGCCCTTCAGCAGCCAGCTTCTTCTACACTCTCTGCCTGAAACGCATGAGTGAAGATGGACATAAGGACGTTTTTTTAGACAAAAAGTACAACGACAGAACCCCAGCTTTGATGAGACTGGTGTTGACTCAGGTTTGTGAGTCTTTATTTGAAAATATTTGCTGTGCTGCTGGTTTGCCTAAAGTTAGCTTATCAGGTAAAGTTGTTGGAGAAAGAAAGGGAATATTTTCTATCATCTCACACTAAACACTAACAGGAACAATAATCTGCCCTGAATATGCTTAATATGTAGCTTCAGATTAAAAATTATGTGGTACAAGACATATATATATATATATATATATGATGTTGACTAGTGCGTGTCACGTGTGTGCACGCGTGCGCGTATGTGTGCGTGCGCGCGTGCGTGTGTTAAGCCCCGGATCTTCTTCAGTCCTAAATCCACCCCTGTGCGTGGTTAAAATCATGTGATATGCCCTATGAAACAAATAAATTGTGCTTTATTACCTTTTTTAAATTTTGTCAACTCTTAAACGTTCAACGTAATAAGCACGCGTAAATTAAGCTAGCTGGTAGGTAGCTAAAACGTCAGCAAACTTAAATAGTAAACTTTTTTAAAAAACGGAATATTTGCTAATTGAAATTGCCTACCTCTCTTAAAAAATTGTTATTAGTCAAGTTTTATACTCACGAGAATGTTTGCCAAGGTAAACTATGCGGTTCCTTCGGAGCAACGAGCACGTCTATAATGTTTCCTTAGTGTGCGCAATGTGCTTGTAGCTATTACGTTCTATTTAATTACGAGCTTCTAGTTGTTTTGAACTGTTGTGCTGTTGTTTAAATACAATGAAAATAGGTTGTGTGTGAGTTAAAAATGTTATTTTAGGTATTTATTTGTTGCATAAAACAAAAGACATCAAAAGTTCACTTCTTAGAGTGCAGATGCAATCCTTTGAAAAAATTGGGGGCGAGTCTGTGGAGTAATGTCCTGGTATGTTTCTCCTAAACATAGCAAATGTTATTCATATTTATCATTCTTCAAAAGGAAGACAAACACTTGGGAGCTGCTGGCCTCCTTTGCACCAGCTGCTCCTGCAGAGGTGACCCACTAAGAGGTGTGAGTGGCAGAGTGAGGCCAGGCAGTCGACACCTCACAGAGCAGATAAATGACAGTTTAACATCTGAGGTTTTTACCGTGAGGCTTCTGAGCAGTCAGTGGTCTGACTGAGGTGGAGGAAGGCTGAGGCCGTGGTCTGATGGCGGGCTTGCCGTGACATGAACTGCTGGTTGGACCTTTCTTCACCACCCGCGGAGAACGCTGATGGTTCCCTGATCCACAAGGGTACTTGGGAGGTGATGCAGGCAGGTCTGCAAAGAGGAGGCATGGTAGAACATAGTATCAGATATCAATCACTCAAACAGGATGCATCCAAATGCTGCAGCTGGATTATTATTCCAAAATTATCCTGCTGTTGTCAGAAGAAACAATCTGGACCAGGAAACAAAGCATCCTTGTTAGTTCTGTGGCTAACCGAGCACATTATACAGATGAGTGAAAAAGTACTGATTCTTTTCTCACTTAAAAAAATGTTTTTATTCAATCAAAGTATGATAAGAGATGATTTCTGGCAGTAAAATCATGATTTTATTTTATTTTATTTGCTCTGCACATTCTAATCCCTCAGTTTGATGCCATCGCACCACCACACCACCCTATACCAGATACACTTAAACAAAGAGAAGGAGGAAGTTTCCGTGTGGGGATGACGGATGGAAGTTTTTGTTCCCTTCAGGTCCAACACCCAAACCTTTGTTCACGTTACACTCCTGAAAACTTTTAACACACAGACCTCAGTACCATGTAGAAGTGGACTAGAATAATTAAATGGAGAAAGTCAGCAGAAATCCAGGTGTCTCAACACAACAGTTCTGCAGAACCCTCTCATGAGGGCTGCTGTTAGTCCAAATAACAACTACATGCAACATAAAACTTCATCTTTTCTACATTTCAGAGAAACCGATTCAAAGTAGAGATGAACAGCAGAAGAAATGTATAGTTTTCTTGAATCCTCGGATCAGTCTCGATAAGCCCACGTTTGCCTCATTCCTCTCTTGGTGTTTGTTCATCTGCTTTAATACGCCCAGCATCACCGACACAATGTTTGGCTTCGTTAGACCTTTTTTATACCACAGCTTGTAAATGTTGTATAAAACAACCCCTAGATAGGATGATGTGGATGCTGCTGGGCTGTGTGATGGGCAACAACTAAATGTAAAAATACATTTCTGGAAGCTCAGATGCATCCCTGAGTGTAAAGTCTGAAGACAGAAAAAAAAATCACTTTTTGCTGTTAATTCAAACTATTTACCAGACCAAATAAATAAATAAATAAAAGTTAATACAATTATGTTTTTGCAGGTGTGCTTTTATTCTGTATAATGCACACTTCCACTACTTGAAGAGTAAACATAAATTTAATTTTGCAATCAATTAATAAAAGTGTGTGAAACCAAAGCATTCCCAGAGTTCTATTTCCAAGCACTAACACTTCTGATTAATCTTTATTCCTGCTAATGTTCTGAGTGGAAATCTGGGGTCACCTAGCAGATCTCCTTTAGACCATATGGGTTAAAGGGATACTATGCAGTTTGTCCGTTAGTAAAACTAAAAGTGAAACTTGTCTCCTCGCTAAGCGTTTGTCTTTTTAACACCTTAATCTAACAGCTGAACTGCCTCCCCAACTTGGTGTCATCACTAAATCAAACAAATCGGCTGTGTCCATGATCTAAAACATGCAGGAAACATGCTGGAAGCAGACTGCAGCTCCAGGCATGTCAGCTCCACTTTACAAATAGGGCTTCCATGCCTGCATCATCTCTACACCGCCTGGACTGGGTAAAGAGTGTTCACATCCACATAGCCTTGTTTTTTTTTCCACATGTAACCGGTTGTTTTTTCAGCCCTCTTCCCAAGGCGGTCTGCTTTGAGCTGAACTGATCCAAAGCACTCACTGCCGAGAAATTGGCTGGCTCAAATTCACACCAACTATTATGGGGAGCCTCTTATTGGCAGATAGAATCAGCCAATGGGAGCTTCCCATATGCTCAGTCACGTCAACATTTGTGTGTGTAATCAACCCGGCCGGGCTGGGGCTGACTGCACAGAGAGGAGCGAAGTGGAGCCAGCGCTAGTGTGGAAGGGGCTTAAGTCCAACAGGGACCGGACCAAATACTCTGAAGTCGCAAGTGCGGTATTCTGGTCACAGACGGCGGTAGGGGTCTGAATAACATGTCATTATCCATGCAAAGGGTAATTTTATCACATACTAGCTCAAAAACTGAATAAAAAAATGAAAAGTTCCATTGTATCCCTTTAATGTGCTGATGTTACAGGTTATAAAGTTCTCTTGGAATCATAAAAAGCATTCCCTTGATTTATATCCTGATTAGTAATTCCCGTTTTCGAGTCTCAGTTTTATTTCTTCATTTCATGAAGGCATTTTTTTCAACTCACAAAGTGAATGAAACAAGCGTTTAATCACTTTCTCTCTTTTGCAAGACAGATCACTTTGTTACAGGCTATAAAATTGTTTAACTTTTATTTCACTGTTCACTTTTAAGATGTTTTCTTTTAATGAGCTGATTTAAATTCCATCGTCGTTCCAGAAAACTGTGGATGCTTTTCCACAAGTTGCCCAAACTGAGTCACACAAACTCCCTCTCCACCGTATCAGAAACTGAGAATCCTCTCAAGACTCCTGGAACATTTAAACTGATGTTTTTTAGACATGCTCCGGGCAGGGGAAAGAGAAATTCAGTCAGTAATGAGTCTTGTTACACTGTCTGCCCCAAGCGGCAGACTCTGGGTTTTCCCATCGTCTCTACACCAATAAGACCAAACCGGAGGAAAAAGGATCCTCTGGTTCTGTAGAACAGAGAGAATAGAAAAATGTTTTCCACAGTGTTGGTCTTTCTTCCGTTAGACCAAGCACGGGTACGGAGTAGATGGAGTTAAACACCTTTAAAGTTGTCAGAACGAGGAGACAAATGATCAGAAGTCCATTCACTGTTTCGCCGCTCATGAGGGGGAGAGTCTCTGCAGCAAGTCCCGCGACCTGCTCTTGCCAGATGCTTCGGACAGACTCTCGCCGTTCTGCTGAAAACGGCTGATTTTTATTGAAGATTACAGGAATGTTACATACGTAGTTTGCCATACACACACGTAATTCTGCCATCTGCACCTGCAGACGCACGTCAGCTAATAGCCTTGTTAATGAAAGACCAATTCATCCCAAGGACATGCAACCTTGAGATGATCAGGACACATCCTGCAACATCCTTTGCTAACAAAGACAGTTGTTCTTGTATTGAGGAACTGAAGGAAGGAACACTTTCACTCCCTTATGCAGCTGTTCAGCTTGAGCAGAAAAGGCACAGAGAGGTCTTTGATATTATAACAAGATTCCATGAAAAGGCATATAATAATGTATTTATGATAATATATAAGGGGCAAAAGTGAGAGATACATATTTAATCATATAAAAGAGCTTATAATAATATATGAAAGAGCTTATATGAGAGATATATATTTTCAATCCCCCTTTTGAACTCTTTTAAGAGTTCAATAAAGATATAAGAAATCAAAACAATAACACCAAATTCCATCAAAAAGAATCCAATAAGCAAAGTTTTAAAATACCAATACAAACAACCAATCAGATTACATTTACTCATCTTTCTAGCAGTAAACTAATACAAAAAACATGATCATACTTTCAACAGAACATGTTACAACATGTATGGATCGCATGCAACTCCATATGAGGGCGAAAAACCCTAATTATCATATGTTTATAGGGAAAATTCCCCCATGTCCCCCCATTTGTCATATCTCAATTTTGGGGCGAACACCTGTTGGCATAGAGTGTGCATGCCTAGGACATCAATGATCAACAAAAAATAAAACAAAACAAACAAAAAAATCATAAAAATGAACTGGTGAAGGGATGGTTACATAAATCACTGAACATTCTCACACTCTAACAACATCTTCTTCATCATGAGAGTCATCACTATCATCAGAGAGTTCCCCTCCCAAATAGATGTTAGGATTGGCTAGTAACAAGGGCATCTGGATAATTGGGTCAGCAGGTGGAGGGTGTAAAATATTACCCTTGTTAAAATAAATGAGGGTGTTAAATACAACCCTTGTAGAATGTTCATAGGGTGGTTACTTCTTCCCCCTGTTGAGGACCCTTCACTGGCTCCAGGCAGCTGCAGGGGGTGATGATGTCAAGATTCTCGTCCTGCAGGATGTGGTGGCAGCTTGGCATGCTACTGTAGTCAGCTACTTCTCTTCCTGGTTTTTTGGATCCTTTCTCTGGTTGGTCAGATGTCAGCTGCTTCTCGTCCTGGTCCTTGGGTACTTCTTCTGGTCAGGCAGATGTCGGCTGCTTCTCTTCCAGGTTAGGCTCCTCCCGTCCAGCCGGACAGCGTGTGACGTCCTCTCCGTGATCCTGTATGGCCCGGTCCACCTTGGTTCCGTCCACTTCCTTTTGGTGACTTTTAGCAGGACCCAGACGCCTGGCACCGAAGACGAAGCCTCTTCGTGTGTGTAGTTTTGGTCCAATGAAGGCTTTCTCGGCTTGTGCAGTCCTTGATCTCGGCAGATAGTTGGTAGGAAGATTCACACTCCGGCCGGACCAGAAGTTCCCCGGACCGATCGCCTAGGGATTAGAGGTTATGCACAAAAATGTCCTAGCTCTTACTGACCCTAGCCTCTGATACCTTCAACATCAGACACATACAGTTACGAACAGCAAGCGCAATTAAAGGTACAGTGACATCACGACATGGACACACAGACACACAAACACATACACATGCACACACACAGAGAGAGGGAGAGAGTAAGAATGTGTGTGGGAGAAAGAAATGAGTGGGATCCACTTCGCCACCAGCATCTCCACCTGTGTCACAGAGAAAAATTACAAAGAAATTAAAACATAAAGCAAACAACAATAATTCAATGAGTATAAATGATCAAACTAAAATATACAACCATGCATGGGTTTTATAACAGTTCCAGCAACACTGGAGATGATGCCTTGTACAATGAATTCTTAAGATGTCCTTCATCAATTAGAGGTTATAGCCAAATTGTTTCAGGATCCTGAAGTTGAATTGGTCAATTTACTCAGAATAGCCCAATGGCTTTGTTGATGTTTCTCAAGGCTCAGCCACGCCCATATAGATAAATAAACAAACAAACAAGACAAACACAGTCAAACACACGGTCCATACACGTCTCTGTGCCCTCACACACCAAGCAAATGTCAGACTGAAGCGAAAGTGTGAAATACTTAACC